TTGAATTTTCATTTCGACGTCAAGAGCAATTTTAACCAACTATTTTCAAATATTATATTGAATAATTTATAGCAAGTTTTTATAATAAAATCGGTCAAATGTGTATTTCGGAAAGCAGCGTCACGGCGATTCACTGGCCCACTACATCAACGTGATACGGGCTCGCGTCATTGTTCGCGCGTTCACATATTAACGTATGCGCTCACGAATAACGGCCTTTCCTTTCCTCCTCCTCCCCACCCTCCCGCCCCGCCCAATCGTCCGCCACATTCTTAAAATTACAATAAATCATTTCGAGTGAAAAAAGACGGGAGACCGTCGATTCAAAATTCGTGAAAGTAGCATAACCCCGTAAATCCATCAAGATAACGCGTCCGAGCTACCGCTTTTGTTCCACCCTCTCGAAATCCTGATCTACCGCTGCAAGGAGCTGCTGCATCCTTCCTTCAATTCCCGAGACATTTCAAGAATTCAAGAACGAAAACAGACCTCGTCCCAATAAAATACCCCATTCCCCCCCCCCCATACCCTTCCCCCTCCCCCTCTCGGCCTCATCCGACACCGCGCACTTCTCCTCCAGCTCCGCCCGCGACGTGCACAAAGAAGCCAATCGCACAAAGACTCGGCGTCGCGCGAAGGTTCGAGGACCGGACTCGTGAAAATGAAGATAAAGAAGGACGGAGCGCTACCCGAGCTCGGCTGATACCCGAGACTCCTCGTTCGGCTGGGGAGCGAAGTCGTGCCCGCAAATGGGACACATTGTTGCCGCGCGAGAGAGTCGACGTGTGACCCATTAGCTCTCTTTTCGCGATCGCCGATTTTCAGCGTCAAGGTGAAAGTAAAATGGCACGCCACTGTCATCCTCCCGCGCACTTGGCTCGTGAGAGAACGATGATGATGACCTTCGGAGATGGAACGGTAAGCTTAGATCCACGTTTTCCATCTGGGCCGTGATGAGAGCGCGAGGTGGCGAGAGGGGGCGGGTGGGGAGGGCCCCTGCCACGGAACATTTCGCACGATTTAACTTGCAACGTGACACTACGAGGAGCGCCAGCTTCCGTTACATTACGGCGTTTGCGTATCCAAGTTTGTTTTTCGTCGTTTTTGTCCACCTCTTGGCTGCGGTCGTCAGCGACGATTTTATGAAAGGAAAGGACGACGAGAGCAAAAGAAGAAAACAGGGATTACTTTTGGAGATGAGTTTTACTTTGAATGCACTTGGAGAAAGGTCTTGAGCGTAAGCGATAACGTCCGCGGGATAATTGGAGTGTTCGACGGTATAATGAAACAATTTCGTTTCGGAGAAATACGCCGACGACAACCGACGCTCGGACCATTCGAAACTGCTTACACGATGAATTTTTAAGCTCTCAATATGGACGTACGGCATGATTTTTAATTGTTTACAATTTAAATTTTACAATTTTATTTACCAGATATGGCGAATGGCGCCAGCGTTCGCTTGTAAATTTGTGAGAATGTCCCTACGTTTTTGCTACTTGGAAACAATTTATTTTAATTGTTTCTTACTGCCCGGGAACAATCATTGTCATTTACGGCGCAGTTGAAAATTTATTTGCAGTTTAGACAGAATTTTGGCCTATTATTTATTTGCATTTTTGCATGCTAAATTACATCGCGCACAAAACATTGAAATAATAGTTTTCTTCGTTTTTCATGATTGGGAGTGGACGAATACTAACCAACTACCTTACTCGCGTGATTTATTAACTTTAACTAATTATTGTATAAACGAGGACGTAATGGATACATGCATTGTCGTTACAATTTATAAGAGGATATAAATCTAAGAAACAAGTAACCGAAATTTACTTTGGGATCAAAATAAAAAATAAATTAACCGTTATATCAGAATGTATTAAGTAAAATGGTGTCATTATGTACGCATTTAATATGAGATCTGTCATATTTAAACGAATGATTCTACATAAAATCCCGTTTTAACGTATCATATTATCATGATAAATTTGAACACTTTATAAAAATATCTTAGACAGCACTTTGTTCTTTTATATTTATCATGTGTTACAAAATTTTAAGCCGAATGTAGACAGTTAAATAAGGATTTTGAATGAGCCACGTTTACATTAGAAATAAGAATTTTATTATTTATTGTATTTTATGAAGAGGGAGGGAGCATGGAAAATCCATGCTTAATTATTTATCAAATTATCACAAAATATTTTCACTATATAACTGTATGATTAATTGTCGTGAATTCGGTGAAATACAACAAAAAAGTTATTATCATCATCGAAGAGAAAGAATAGTTAAGCCATTCCTTTCTAATTAGAGTTGTCAACTGGAACTGTTATAATTGGCAAGTTGTATTCATAAAATTATTAAAAATGAAAATTGATTTTGGATAGGTTAGCGTATAAATAGAGTCTACATCTTGACAAGCAGCTCGTCCCAACTAAATAAAGTGAATTTCTTCATATTTATAAAAAGCATTAAATTGCCACGCTATTATTGGTTATTTTGCCAATTTTTATTTCTTACGGTGATTTAGTCTTATAAATTGCATCTATTGATTCGTTCGCTTTGCCAATTAGAAGAAAGATTCAGTAGTAAATTTGTATCGTTGGTATTCTAAAATCTAATGGTATCAGATATATGTGGACAAACATTTGAAAAAACTTGAAGTATTAGGTAGACGATGAAATAAATCATTACCAACTGTACAAACTCTGCAGAAAGTGTATAACTTGGCAATTGTTATGGCACTCGAGAGGGTAAGAATTAAAATGCGTTTTCTACAAAAATCTATTTGCTCTGGAGTTGTTGATTGTTTCGGCACTTGTAGTAAAAATTCGAGGAGAAAAAAAAAAGAAGAAATAAGCATTTGAATAAACCAAAAAAAAAAAAAAAAAGAAGAAGGAAAAGAAAAAGGAAAAAGAAAAAAAAGACGAAAAAAAAAACGAGAGAAAAAAAAAAAAAAAAAAGAAAAGACGGGAACGGAAACAGTAAGAGAGACAGAGGACAATAGAGCGAGAGACTCTAAGGCAAATTTCGCCTTCGGGTCGAAAGAGAAGAATTGAGCGCAAAGCTTAACCTCGGCGAAGAAAATTACCTCCAATGTACCGTCCGTTCCAGCACTAAAGTTCCCTCAAACAGCATGTCGTGAGATTCTTTTTACCATAAAACGAGCGTTTAAAAGTCCAAGAAGAGAAGAAGGCTCCAGGCTCTACAGGCTCTACAGGCTCTACAGGCTCTACAGGCTCTAGGCTCATGGCCTCGTAACGGCGGCGTTCCCAGTGAGCTCCGCCTGAAAATGTCATCGTCTTGAGGCTGATTATGCAAGATACCGCAGCAGATGAAATGAAAAATGCCCTCCTTTTTTTTTTTGCTCCCCTCCCTAAGCCGCTCCCCTTTACCATCGGCCGCTTATCTCATCACCTGTGGTCGCGCGATCCGAATCGAATCGAGTGCAAGGGAATTCCGATGTGACGATGCACTCGTGTCAATGTCTCTGCCGGAATTTCCTATGTTGTGACATTGTCCGATCTGGAGCTTAGATAAGTGTGATATCGGTGTAAATTATTGGGTCAGTCGGCGCGCGCATTGTTGCATTATGAAATATGGTTGTTCGAGCGATTTGGTTGCAAAGGATGAAGCTGAGCAATTTTGCCAAGGATAAATTGGATGGCTTATGCAATGGCGCTCATAGTGCAACGGAATATGGTGAATATAATTTCATAAGTAAGCAACGTTCGCCTGAATTATCGTTTGCAAAAATAAGCAAAATTTTCTCCAATCGGCCACTTCGACTTCATCATTGAGCTTATTGACAGCGATAGCAATGCGGTTTTTACGACTGTTGGATTACTATTTTTTTCTTTCTTTCTTTTTTTTTCCAATCTTCTATCCGTGACCAAACGAAAAAAAAAAAAAAACAAAAAAATCAAACAAATGAAATTGAAATGTTTTTATATTTATTATTTATTAACTTTTATAATTCCTCTGCTTACATTTCGTAATAATCGTGTGCGTGGATGTGGATGTCCATCGTTATTACACGCCATTCTCGGCATTGTTATTTTTAATAGTTCGATACGCGTGATTGCATGTTCTTCCAAGATATTGTTTATTAAAAATCTATCGTCGACTATTTTTCCTATTTGCTGAAATCATACATATTTACGTTTGGATTGTTGGAAAAGTTGTAATTTTATATTGCATAATAATCATTTTCAATTTCCGAGTCATCTTGAAGTAACATTATAGTTCCCAAATAAAATGTAAGTTCTCGGCCATTTAACAATAATTTGTCTTTTTATTTGGTAGCTCAAATTAACGGAGACGGAAAGTAAAAACGAGGACATTATACACAAAAATTTCATAAGCTTGTAAAGCCTCATAGTGGATAATGTATGGACTTCTTCTGGGTAAAATTATCACTTTTTTTTTTTTTTTTTTTTTTTTCTTTAATGCTGTGTGTGTTTTTAAAGAGGGAGAGAGAGAGTAATTTTTGGACTTTTTTTGGGTAAAATTTTCACTTTTTTTTTTTTTTTTTTTTTTTCTTAAGTACTGTATGTTATTTTAAAGAGGGAGAGAGAGAGAGAGAGAGAGAGAGAGAGAGAGAGAGAGAAATAATAATTACGAAATAGATTCTTTAACGAAAGTGCACTATCATTGCCCAGTTTATATGCATTTGTCTACGAACAAAAACAAAATTACGCATTGTGGCGTCACGAACATAATTCTTTCACTTACGAGCCAACACTTTAATACTTTTACCGCGGACTCGATTTTCATAATTCTTTATACCTCCAGCGAGTGCTTTATATTTTCACTACTGGCTCGTACTCGCTAATTTTTCTTCGCAATCTTTTCGTAAATTCCGTGCACTTATTTATCGGCATTTTATAACAACAATGGATTTAATAACTGATAATTATTTGGAATGTTCATAAATTTCAACTTTCTTAATTTAAATATAAAGTCATTGAATACGTTTATTTTCTTTTCTGTTTCAGGTATGTAGCCGATTGCACTTCAATAGCGTCAATTTTATGCGAGTAAGCTACAACACATAAAATCTTACGATTTATATCAAAATTTATTATAAAAATCTTTTATGTACTGAGATAAGGGAGAAATTCTGTTTCATATTAGTGCACTACAAGATGCATTGCGCACGATACCCATTATACATATTGTTCAATAAAACAACCATAATTATTATTACAATGGGATGAGAGAAACTTTAACGCCATTACATGACATTAATAATAATTTTACGGGAGCACTACGGATTATCACTTTCAGCATTAATTCCTAATAATAATAGCCAATTCATAAGCAAATTATATATTACTAGAATGCCCGATTAAGAATCCAGATAAACGAGATTCGTTCTACGAGTCACAACGATAGTACAACTTAAAAATCCCTCGTCCATCATTAAAGCGATAACAAGAATTTCACAAGATTAAGAATGAAATGAGCAAAAGGCAAAAAACAAAAAACAAAATACAAAAAAAAATTTCAACCTATTATCTTCTATCAATAAGCTTTAATTTCGTCAACTGTCCATAGTGATAAGTTATAAAAGCGGACGTGTAGGTAGTTTATGAGAAAGGCGGATAAAGTCGAGCCGCGTCCAATAAAACGAATTGATTACGATTAGGATCGATCGCACGAGCGAGTGGAAAGCAAAAGTAAAGCAGCTCCGAGCCGAATCCCAAGCGCTCGTGCAATACCGGGGACGAGAGGCCCAAATCAGCCTCGAAAATGACACATGCTCGTGGATTCTTGGCCTCGCGTACGATAAACATCGGCTCTCATGCCCATCCGGCAAACGACTCACTCGTCCTCGACGGAAAAATCGCCGGCAGCGGGGCGACGCGCGATTGTCCGATTCAGTTTAAGTGCAGGTTGCCAGGACGAAGCCAAGCGTGGGAATGAACGAGGGGCGCCGATTTACTTAATCGCTTTGCCCTCGAACTTCGGAGCTGCGCGACGAACCCCAACGGACTGCATCCCAAGTCCTCCTTCTCCTCCTCATTCTCCTCCCCCACTTCTCTACCACCGCTACCACCATCACCTCATACTCCACCGCCCACCATCGTTACCATCACCATCTTGCAACGTTCACTCGCGGATGCGCAATGGCGCGTTTTTAGAGGCTACCGTTAACATCACAAGTGCATTGTGTATGAAAAGCCGTATTATCGACTTACTGACCTCGAGGGAATTTCTCCTCCAATGAGTAACCGTTTCCATGGGATCTATACCATCTTTCCGCGTTTTAAGCCTAATACTCGTTAACGATTGGTGGTACCTCGGTTAACGCATATGACCCTCTCGATTAATTAATCCCAGTCATACCTCGACATATCACAAGAGTTTGTGACTCAGTTATCTATTGGGACTCCTCGTACGTCCAACCATAAAATACTGTTGAAACTTGTTATTTTCTCTTATTTATCTTTTTTTTTATTTTCTTTTTTTTTTTTTTTTTTAATTTAATAAACTCTATCTCCGATTATGTCGATGCTTATCATTCAACTATGGTGATCTCCTACGTAACAATATTTATATTTCTCGTTAGACCTACAAAAACGATGATGCTATGATTTCGTAAAGAATTGATATTTCGCCGCCACCACCCTCCTCTCAAAATGCCAAAACGAGCTGAGGGTAGTGTTTGTAATTAAATACTTAAAAATATATTATTAATTTTGCGAAAGGATTTAATCGTGCTTTTTCGGTTACCGGGCAATTATCGTTCTTAGAAACTCTAAACAATCGCGTAATTGTATGTAATTACAATACCATCAATTTGAAAAATATTTCAGTGTTTGAAGGATATACAGTATGACCACACGTATTTATTTATAATATTGACAAACTTTTTTCTGTTTTTTTTTCTTCCTTTTCTTCATTAGATTAATAAGAGATAATTAGGCGTATTACTTTCATAAAATGATATTCGTTTTCTACTATAGAGGCGTCGATTTTACAAAACATCGTTGAATTCCATGGGATAATCTATACACATATACACACTTAGACAAGGAAAGAAATAAACAAATAAGTAGAGAAGTAGCAAGCAACCTAAACGCACACGAGCGCGCGCGCGCGCGCGCGCACACACACCCCTCTATACGCGTGTACGTGAATACATGGGCGCGAGAGTGAATTTTAACATTTTGATGTATAAATTCTGTTATTTAAAATAATGCAATCGCGATAAGTTGTAAATAGTAGAATAAATGAACTTATATAATGGATTGACCTCGAGTATTGGCAAAACAAATCCCAATTACTCGTGAAATTCCCGTTTTATTATTATAATCTTTTATATTCTACAATTGTTCATTTTATATTTAGTTTAACATGTAAAGATATAAAAAAAAAGAATTCATTGCGTTCTCGTGTCTGTTTCTCGTGAAATAAAAAAAATTCCATGAAATATCATAAAAATTTAATACTACTATTTAGATATTTCTTTTAAGTGCAATAAAACTCCCTTTTCAAGCGTTTTTATCACTTATTATCTTAAAATTTTATTGAGATCTTTATTGAACCCTAACTCAAGTGCATTCATTTTTTATAATTTTCATTTACGAGATTTAATCACTTTATAGTAGATGAAATGTACTTTATAGTTATAAATTAATAATAACTATTCGCAGATGTGCGGATATATATGGGGGACAACTATATAATATTTATTTTTTTTTTATTTTCTTTTTATTTTCTTATTTATCGAGTTTAAGAAGTTTTCAAGACTATTCGAGTGCAGTAATCATCATAAATAAAAATTTGCATTGACATACGTTGAGAGGATTTTCAATTTAAAGTAACCGAATAGTAACTATCGTGAATCGCCTTTAATGAAATTGACAAGTGATTTATTAATTTGCAATATTGGACACACGCTAATTTCACAATTGAATTCAACAAAGCTATGATTTTCAAGGCTAAATAAATCAGGAGAGCAACGCTATCAGAAGCGGAAGGTCTCGCACTCGTTATTCTCCTTATATTACAAAAATTTGCAGCTTTGACGTCTTATAATTAATTTGTGTACAATATTACGGACTGCGCATGCTGTAACAATAATATACTATTTGCCTTGGTGTAGAAAAATATTTATAAGAAATTGAAAACAAATCTGAAGAAACGAAGGCGATAATTTATAACGATTTAGCTCGTTCCGGCGACAATATTTATGGCCTTTTGTTAATCGAATGTCACCTTACATAAGATAACATCAATTCTCGTTTGCGCGTCTTCGCGAAAGTAATTTGAAATAAAACAGCGATTATGCATGCCTTACATCAGCAAATAAAGTATCGCAATAATGTTTTCACTTATGTTTTTAACGTTGTAAAAAGTTGAAACGCCGGTGTAATTGTCATTGCTCCTGAAGCAGCAGACAGCTGGCAATTTTCAGCGGCACTTTGCAGTCATCAGTGCATACCGGCTGCATTTATCCCCGCAAGGTTGCAGGTTTTACGTCTATACATAATATTCTTAGTATATTATAGAAGAAAAGAATGTAGAACGTGTCAGTACAAGATTTTAACGAGGGATTTCTGTAATTCTTCTTGGACACTAAACGCATTTCAAGTTCACTTTATTATGCTTCATACGAACAAAAATCTTCTGCCCTTCGATTTTAAATTGAGCGGCAGATTTTATAAAAATACTACCTCACTCGTATACACGTGTTAAGTACCTTTAATTCATTATCCTTTATTAACCGCTCACACTATAGATTTTATTCTATTGGCTCTGCAAAAAAAAAAAAAAAAAAAAAAAAAACTTACAATTTGAGGATAAAAATTAATACACGGGAAATGAACGTACACGTTGAAAATTCAATACAATTTATAAGAGAATGAAATTTTCTTTGAAGGAAAAAATTGAAATATTTAGCCAAGTGTATACAATATCAGATTTTCATTATGTACAAAGCGTAAGCTTCCGTCATGCGACAATAATTCACGAGAATTAAAAGATGTCGTTGATTTATTAGTGCTGATATTTTCAAATGCATAAATCATCCTTGATTATGAACTTTTTCAATAAAGTTTTACAAGTGCAGACTGATAATAACTTTATTTTATTGCTTCATTTGATTAAATTAATAATAAAATAAAGAAAAATTTTCAAAAAAATGTACGTAAATAAGTGATCACAAATATCTATTAGCTAATAAATAATCATTTTAGTTATTTAATGTCTTGCAAATATTATAAATAATATTGTGAAATAAATCAAGCTTGTTTGACGTTATAAATTATTTTTGCAACACAATTTTTTCTATCTTTATACTTAAAATTATTGAAGAATCATGCATTAAAATAAAATTTATCATTGTTACGAAGGATAAAACCATCATACACATATATATATATATATATCAAAATTTTTGTTTTTTAACTGTGTAATGATTTTTCTTACAATGATATTATTTCACATAGAAAAATAATAATCCCTCGAAAGAATCATTAAAAAGTTGAAATATCGCGTACAGCAGATAAGAAATGAATGCATTTGGCTTAGAAACTGGCGATTACAATTTTTGTTTTGTTTGTTTGTTTCAATTAAATTTGAAGACTCGATAGTTTTCTACGAGAATAATGAGAAAATCAAATATAAATGCTCGAGAGAACGATTCGAAGATTTTCAACGGATAAAAGCCATAAAGTTGGTTTAATTACATATGCTAAGAAGACGAGCCGTCAAAACGCTTAAAAAGATAATGCCGAGTTTTAGAATAAATATTCTTAGAAGGAAGTAATTAGTTAGGAAAAGTATTGTAATTATCTCGACGATGCATCAAAGATTCTCAACTCTCCCGCGGAGCTTTTTTAAAGCTATGAAAATTTGGATAAACAATGAAAAACGGGAACAAGGACTACAATGCAGCTGGCTCATAAATATTAGAAGAAAAAAGTAGTGATGCAGCACGAATTAGAATACGAAAAAGTGCAGATCGAAGAAAACTTTCACGTTGTCCGTCACGGGCACATCCCGTAAACTCCCGGATGCTCGTCTCGAAGATCCCGGACCACCAATGAAATTCCTCGCTTCCTCTCTACCTCTACCTCCTCCGGGTGGCCGCGTGACTCAGACTCGAGCCACATCCACTAAAGGATCCCCGTCGTACCCTAGCAGGATAACACGGTCAGGGGAAGTCGCCTGATTCATTCGACCGTGGGATTTTTAACACTTTCTATGTGGCGAGGGATCGTCGTGCGATTTTACCACAATTAACGGCGCTACTTGCCGAAACCATGGAAATTGCGCAACGCTTCTGGATTACTTGAGCGGCGGGGGTGACGAAGTAAGAGTAGAAGTGAGAGGATGGGAGGATTGACGGATGGGGGTGGGGGAAGAGGGGGTGTGTGTGGGGGTGGTGGGGTGGAGGTCGTCAGGGAGTGACTTTTATTAATCCTCATCTGGCTTTCTCAATCTCTCAAGGGTCTTAACATC